AAGGGGTAGGAGCGAAGGGAAGGGGAAGGTTTGTACGAGAGGAAAAAGAAAAATTTTATTTCGATTTTGAAAAATTTTTGTTGATTTTTCGTAAAAGGAATAAGAAGGAAAACGGTTAATTTGAGGGTGGAGTGAAAGGTCACGAGGAAGGAGAGGAATGAGGGGGTGGAAGTGAGAGCGAGGGAAAAACGTGTAAGAAAGAATTTGTTTTTTTTTTTTGGTAATGTTTAAAATTTGTATGCACACGAGGGACGGAATTGAAATATTGATAAATGAAATTGTTAACTTTATTTTTGCGAATTTGTACAAGATGAATGTTTTTTTCCGAGGGGTGAGGGGATGAAAACTTCCGGTTGTAAGATATACCGAAAGAAATAAAAAGTCCAAAAAAAAAAAAAAGTAGGGCCGTGGCTTCATGGCCTACGTGATTCAAATAGAAAATTTTTTTTCTTTTTTTTTTTTGTCGAATCCCTCAGGACATCTAACTTTGTAAGGATTGCCAACATTCATACCACGACCAGTGATTTTTCTTCTTTTTATTTCCTATCTCTCTCTCTCTCTTTATAGCATTTTTTTCTTCCCTTTCTTCCCTTTCTTCCCTCTTTTTTTCTTTTATTCGTGTTTCTTGTTTAATTTTGTTAATGTTAATTTTTATATTTTCTTTTCTTTTTCTTTCTTTTTTTTTTCTTTCGGAACAATTAAATTTAAGAAAGAAAGAAAACGCTGCGTTTATACGTGCGTGCGTACGGTAAAAGTTACCCTTAAGGTACTTTATATAAAAAGACAAAAAAAAAAAGGTAAAAATCACCCGAAAAACATTTAAATCCTTTCATGCGATGCGATAAAAGCTAAAAAAAAAAAAAAAGAAAAAAAGAAAATTGAAATTGAAGAAAAAAAAAAAAAGGAAAATTCATTTCAATTTCCTTAGGCGGAAAACTCGACTGGAACGAAACGAATTCAATTTTTTTTTTTTTTTTTTTATTTTGGATTTTGTTAGGGGGGTTCCAGTAAACTTTTTTTTTTCTATCCCTTTAATTTTTTCTTCCCCCTTCCTCTCACCCTTCTTTTTTTTTTTTTTTCGTTAAACTCGAAATGAGCCTAAAGGCAACTCGAAAATAATAATAATAATAATAATGATAATGAGATCGGACGTTTTCCCCTTTTTCTCTCGCATTTTTTTTTTTTCACCTGGAGTCAAGCCACGTCATTTTTTTTTTCTTCCTTTTCTTTCTCTCCAGATAAATTCAGACAGTGAATGAAATAAATAAAAAGGGTTGAAAAAAAAAAATTTTATTTTTTTTTTACTTTTCGATCCATTCGAACGCATTTTTCGCCATTTTTTTTTATTCCCGTTCGCCGTCCATCACCGACGCATTTTGTAATTTTTTAACGTTTGCTTTTAAATTATTATTATTATTACTTTTTTCATCATTATGAATATTATTATATCGGGCATAAAACGAACGGAGCAGATTATACGAAGTTTGTTAAAAATTTTTTTCTCCTGCCACGTTTTTTTTTTTTTTTCGTTGCGGGGTAGATAATTTTTTTTTTTTTCTTATTTCGACGATTTTTTCGTTTTCTTCTTCTTCTTCTTTTTCTTCTTCCTCAATACTTCTTTTCACTTTTAATTTAACTTTTAAAGAATGAAGAAAAAAAAAATAATAATAATAATAAAAGTTTTTTTTTTAATATAAAATAATTTACCCATTATTTTCAATTGAATTCTTTTCGATTGCTTCATTATCTTCAGCTGTAGTAGTTTTCCCCGCTGCCGCCGCTGCTGCCATCCCCCTGCCCCCCACGTCGATTTTTCTCCCCTTTTTTTCTTTTTTTTTAATTTCAACTTTCCATAAAAAAAGAAAAAAAAATTTTTTTCTGTTTGTTTTAAAAATAAAATAAAAACCGGAAGAGATTCAATCCCGATTTATTATTTTAAATCTTTTTTCCTTTTCACTTGTACAAATATTTGTTAAATATCCCTCTCTCTCTCTCTCTCTCTCTCTTTATTTTTCCCCTCCTCACCCACTCTCTCTCTCTTTTTCTATCAAACCCTGATCGTATATAAAAAAAAAAAAAATTTCCAGCAAACGTCTCCAAATTCTTTCAGGATTTCCTCTTCATCCTTTTTTTCCACGCCGTCTGCTACTTTCTCATGTCCATCTAAACGTCATAAAAATTTTTATTTTATTTACACGTCTCCCAATAAAAATTCTTCTTTTTTTTTGTTTACAATAATAATAATAATAATAATAATAATAATAATAATAATAATAATAATAGTAATAATAATATTTTTAATATAAATGAAAATTGTAAATTTTTCATCAAGTCCTCGTTTGTAGTTTTTTTTTCCCACAAATTCATTCGGACTTTTTTCTCTCTCTCTCTTTTTTTTTCATCATCTTCTCCCTCCCCACTCTCTCTCTCTCTCTCTCTCTCTTTCCACGGTTTCAAAGTTAAGTAAAAAGAAAAGAAAAAAAAGTGATTTTTCTTATTTGTGATTTTTTATAAACACACATACATTTTTCTTTTTTTCTTTCATTCATCTTATAAAATGTTTTTCATCCGACAAAGAATAATTTATTTCAATACAACAACAAAGTTTTATTCTTGAAACTAATAAATATTTGACGAGATGTAAGATTCAAGAATAATAAGAAAAAGATGAAAAAGGAGAAAAGGAAAAGAAGAAAAAGAAAAAGATAAAAATAAAATAAGAGATGAAAATAAGATGAAAGATACTATATATATACTGATTTTATATATACGGAAAAAAAAAGTGCACCAATTTTTTTATTTAAATATTTATTGATAAAAAAATTTTTTCTTTTTTTTTAAATATTTTAAAAGTTTTTTTTTTCCCGCCATTTTTTATTTAAAAAAAAAAAAGAAGAAGAAGAAGAAAAAAAATTTAATTTAATAAACTCTATCAGACTTTTTTACGTTTAAGAAAAACTCAACGTTGTTAAATTTTATGCAAAAAAAAGAAAAAAAGGAAAATATCGACGATCGCATTTTTTTTTTTTTTTTTTTTTACGAGTTCAAATACCTAATAAATTAAAAAAACAAAAAAAGCAGTAGACGATAACGTAATATGAAAATAAAAAAAAAAATTGTTCCGCCATATTTAAAAAAAAAAAAAAAAAACTTTTACGCAAAGTTGTAAAAATGTTAAGGAAAAAAAAAATCATGTGTTTTGAGTTGAGTGAGGTAAAAGGTATAAAATATTTCACCTGTCAGTTTTTTTTTATCCCTCCTTTCTTACCCACCCCCCCGCCTTCCAAACACCACACCCTCCCCCCGAGCGCCTACCTGCGTCTGCCTGCCCCCCATTTTATTCCTTGCGTTCATCTAATACAATATTTAAAATTTAATTTTCATCTTTTACCAGTTTTCAATTTTTTTTTTTTTTTTTAGTTTAAAGCCCACGTCAGCAATGATACGGCCCCTCTCCCGCTACTTCTTTTTATTCCTCCTCCCTCCTTTACTCCCCCCGAAAAATTTCCGACAATTGGCTTCCTGTTGATTTAATGCCTGCCTTCCCCCCCTTTTTTTTTTAAAAGAAAAATAAATGTACGGATGATTTTTCTGTCGGACTTAATTTTTCATGGAATTTTCTTTTTTTTTTCTATTTCTTTCTTTTTTCTTCCTTTTTTTCTCCTTTTTTTTATTCTCCATTCCCCTGGAGAAATTAACTTTTCTTACATGGGAAATCTGTTTTTTTTTCAACGTTGGTAAGAGAATTTTAGAAATAGTATATATATATATAGTATACTGTACTGTTTTTTTCTTTTTATTATTATCATTATTTTCTTTTTTTTAAGTTTCTTACTCGTTTTTCTCAATCTTCCCTTTTTTTTTCTTCTTTTGACTTATAAAAGAAAGTCAAAGGAAAAGGAGGAAGGGGTGGGAAGAGGGAAGGAGGAGGAAAAGAGAGGGAGGGAGAAGGGAAGAAAAACATACGAAACGGAGTTAAAAGTTAAATTAAAAATCATTATTCCTTGAAATTGTTTTCTTTTTTTTTTCTTTTCTTCTGCTTCTTTTTTTCTTCTGCTTTTTTTTTTACAATACAAAAAAAAGGGAAAAAAAAGTTTATTAAAATTAAATTAGACAGATAATGTTATCCATAGAGTAAAAAAAAAAAAATTTAAACTTTAATTAAAGCCTACAACTGGAGCGTGTTTTTCTTTTATTATTATTATTATTATTGTTATTATTATTATTATTATTGTTATTATTATTATTATTATTGTTATTATTATTATTATTATTGTTATTATTATTATTATTATTATTCACATAAGTTACGAACGGGTAAAGCGTAAGACAAAAAAAAGAAATGTCAAACGTTGTGACGTCATTGTTTCTTTTTTTTTTTTCTTTGTTGTATTGGATTCGTCGAGGGTACGTCATACGATTTATTTAATAAATTATTATTATTATTATTATTATCACGAGTTCTCCTATGTATGTAACAAATACGGTTAGAAAAAATGAAATTTCAACCGGAAATGGTTAAAATAAACCGGATATGAATAAAATTAGATTTTTTCGCAAACAACGAAAATATTTTTCCTGTCGCGTAATTGTTAATTGACAACAGGATAATTAAATAATATTAATAATAATTAATTTTTTAAATTAAAAGAAGAAAAGGTAATTAATTAATTAATGTGACGGTAACAAATTATTAATTTTAAGTAATAATAATAATAATAATAAATGATTTAAGTTGTTGTTGTTTTTAATGAATGAAAGCGTTGAAATGAATGGTTTAATCATTTTTTACTTTTTTTTTTTACTTTTTTTTTTACTCATCAATAAATATTAATTAAATGTTCGTTTTCATTTTTTTCTTGGTAACAGTACCGTATTAAGTGAAGCATTTTCTCGACTATAAGTACCCGTGAATTTATTGTATTAAAATCAGTTTAATTTTTTTTATCGTTTAGAAAACAATAAGACTAGAGTAATAATAATTTTATTTTTTATTCAAAATGTCGGGAACGGTAATGGAAAAAAAAATTTAATTTTTTATTTATTACTTAAAAATTTTTTTTTTTTTAAAGTTGGTAATTTTTTTTCAGCCTTTTTTATCGGTTTGTTTGGTATTTTTTCTGGTATTGGTGGTAGGAGCAGAAGGTTTAGATGAGGTGAAGGATACCGGTAAAGTTAAAAGAAGTTTGGATTATAATTATAATCACGGTACGTTTACGATTTGTAATTTTTTTTTTTGGGTAGCGTAAGTTGGTAATTTTTGTTTTGTTTTGTCCAGGGTGGAATGGTGGTTATCAAGTAGAAAGTTATAATCCTTATCAAAACGGTGATAACGATGGAAAAGATGACGTAAACGTTGTAAATTATTCGAAAGACGTACCCGTTTTGTATCCCGTAATCAATTACGTACATTATCCGATCGTTAATAAAATTTTATATCCGGTACCTGTTGAACAAACGATACCGATCGTTATTGAAAAACCCGTACCACATCCTGTCGTAGAGAATTTAGCATTGCCCGTTGAGAAAAAAATTTTAGAACCCGTACCCGTTGAGAAAAAAGTACCCGTTCATTATCCGGTTGAAAAAAATGTTTTTTATCCGGTTCAAGTAGAGAAAAAAATTCCGGTACCTTATAAAGTTGAAAAAGAAATTCGGTATCCCGTCATTAAAAATGTTCCTTATCCAGTTCATATAGAAAAAAAAGTACCCTTTCCCGTTTTATATCCGGTTCACGTAGAAAAAAAAGTCGAGGTTCCTTATCCGGTAATTAAACCCGTACCTTATCTCGTTCCCGTCGAAAAACAAATTCCCGTTCATTATCCGGTTAAAGTCGAAACGAAAGTTCCGGTTCATGTTCCGGTTGAAAAACACGTTCCTTATCCGGTTCATATAGAAAAAGAAGTTAAAGTACCCGTACCGATTATAAAAAAAGTACCATATCCGGTTCCGGTGGAGAAGGAAGTTAAAGTACCGTATCCGGCACACGCAACATCTACTCAACAATTTTCTAATATGGTAAATTTCGAAAAGAAAATTCCAAATCGAGATTTGTTTAAAAATTTTGGACATCAAACTGGAAGTCAAACTCTCGAAACCGGAAGTCAAAACACGTTTGGAAGTGGAAAACAATTTGATTTCGCACAATCTCACCGTGCTGGATTCTACATCAAACCTTATTACAATTACCAAATTTCAGGACAACAAAAATCAACAAATCAACTTTCTTCGTACGAAGGATCGGGAAAACGGATTTCCGGTGTAGGAAAACCTGAAAATTATTTTCCTTACGGAATAAAAAGAAATTCGGATGTCGACTCGGAACAAAACGAAGAACAAGTGGCAGAAGAAAGTCAAATATCACACGATCAAGACCGATCTTCATACGAAACGCAAACGGTATCTATGACGAATAACGAAGACGGTAACAGTAATAATAATAATAATAATAATAATTTAAAAATAAAAAGAGAAAATAGAGAAGAATCATCAAATGACCAAACACCACCACCATCATCAACGCCACGACGAGGAAAAATCGTTTAAACCATGGGAAAAAGTCGACTAATTACATAATTAAATTGGCTTTTCTCCGGGTGCCATTTTGTTTTTTTTTTTTTTTTTATAAGGCATTTAAATAATCTCCAGTCCTATTTGTTATATGTTCCTCTTATTTCTTGTACAAAAACAAACGTTAAATAAAAATAATAATTATACATTAAATTTTATTATTATTATTATCACTTTTAAGCAAGACAAGATTTTTATTTGTCGGAATGTTTTTAAGCATTTATTTCAGGTTTCTACCCGACGATTCCTTTGGGATAAATGCTCGAATTTCGTTAGTGCTATTTATAGAGTATTTTTCGAAGAATGTGGGCCGTCCCACATAGTGCGATTTCCTGGATGGTTTCCTCTCTAAGTTCTTGAAAAATCTTTTTTAAATTTCCTTTTATTGAATGTGGCATGGCTCCCAGTGCTGCTTCCACGATAACCGGAATAGTTTCTGTTTTCGTTCCCCCCATCCTGGCTATTTCAGCCCTTTGCTCGCTTCTTTGGCTGTCTGGTGTGTTTTTTTCTGCCGGCACGAATATCTCAATTAGCTTACACCATTTTTCCGTATTATGCCTAAGGATGATATCCGGTTTGATGGCTGGCACAGTTCTGTCAGTGTGGATTTGTTGGTCGTACAGAACCATGCATGGACCTACTGTCGTAACCGGGCTTGGAATGTGGTTGTACCACTCTTATTATCATTATTATTATTATTGCCCTAAATTTTTTGTCAGCATTTTTTTTTTTTATAAACCTACGTATAACGCGCGTATTTTCAATCTCTTGTTTTTTTTTTTTAATAAAATAAAATACTAATTAAACTAAAATGATAATAATAATAATAATAAAATTTAATACGACATTATTTAATAATGTGTTAAATAAATAAAAGCAGACGACATTAACAATTATTACTCCAGAATTATTATTATAAAAGAAATGTTTTTTTTTTTTTTTCTAAATAAAATTAATCGCGTGGCAAAAATTTATTATTATTATTATTATTATTATTATTTAAAACGATTCAACCACCCTCTTTCTTTTTTATATATAAATGTAATTGTATAAAGTACTTTAACTATTTACAATCATCACTAATTGTTAAAGTTACTAATAAAAAGAAAAAATACATAAACGTACATTAAACTTTTTTTTTCTTATTCTTCTTTCCCCCTTCTCCCCTGCCCCCACCACCCCCCATTATTTTTCCACGACTTGTACGCCATCTTTATTTTTATATCATCCATTTAAAAAAAAAAACTTACGGAGTCGGTTATAATAAAATTTTTTTTAAAATGTTTTTTTTTTTTTTTTTTTTTTTTTTTTGTAAGAAATCGAACGATTTGAATGTTCTGGAAAACTGGAAAATGTTTTTTGCTGGAAATATTTTTTCTTTTGCCCCCATGTATGTGATTTTATCAAAATATATATGTATATTTACGAAAAAAATTGATATTAATATTATAATATAATGTTAAGATTTTTTTTTTTTTACGAAGACGTTTATCACTGAAAACGTAACGGTTTTTTTTGTTATCAAATAATAATAATAATAATAATAATGATAAGAACGAATTGGGGAGGGGAAAATGATGCGGTTAGCATTTTAAAAAAAAAGAAATAAAAAAAATTTGTTTTTTTTTTATTTATTTATTCAAATTGCATGTACAGTTAATTATAACAAAAAAAAATCACTGGATAAGACTGGAACAATATTTACAATTAATCAAATGCATTTGAATTCGCATGAATTCATTTTGGAGAATTCCATAATTAGTCATGGAAAAATTCGACTGTTTGTTTAGTGTCGATTTTTTTTTTTTTTTTGTTATTCGATGACGATGATGATGATGATGAGTTTGTCGATATGTTATTCATGGTCTAAAACACGACCTCCGAAACTTCCATGTCCTTCATGGTTGTGTACGGTTGTTTGGAAATAACCGGATACTTTTTTTATTCCATGACCATTTTCAGTGAAAACTTGTGTTTGGCTTACGGGTTGTTGAACGTGATCGAAATGAGATCCTCCGATGGTTTTTGGAGAAATATCAATGGAACCAAAATATTCAGATGAAAGATCAGAATTGAATTTTCCAATTGGGTACGATACTGGTAATTCTTTTTCGATTGTTACTGGATATGGTACTTCGTGTTCGACGGTGACTGGTACTGGTACAACCTTTTCGACTTTGACTGGATAGTGAACTGGTACTTTCTTTTCTACTCGAACGAAATATGGTACGTGCTTTTGAAGTTGAACTGGAATTGGTACTTTCTTTTCGACGTGAACTGGGTATGGGACTGGTACTGGTACTTTATTTTCAACTGGAACTGGGTATGGTACGGAATGTTCGACTGGGTATGGTACTTGTCTTTCTACTGGGTAAGGTACTTGAACATTTCTTTCGACGGTGACGGGATATGGTACTTGCCTTTCGACGGGAACTGGAACGGGAACGCTTTGTTCGACAGGTACAGGTTGTGGTACGACTTGTTCGACTTGAACGGGTACGGTTTGGCTGACAGGGTAAGGTACTGGTCTGTCAACAGGAACCGGAACGCTCGTTTCAACTGGCACTGGTACGGGAACGGTATTTTCAACAGGTACGGGAACAACGTTATTTACTGGTACGGGTACTGGTACGTTGTTAGTAACAGTAGAAACACTATTTGTCTGAGTAACTCCAGATCCACCTTGTGCTCCCAATCCGGTTAATCCTAATCCAGTTGATCCGAATTCAGTTTGTCCAAATCCATTTTGTCCTAACCCAGTTTGTCCTAATTCTTGTTCGCCAAATCCTGAATAGATAATAATTAATACTTTAATCACTAACTCCAAAAACTAAAAAAACAAAAAAAAAAATTTTACCATTGGCTTTAAAAAAAGAATGATCGAGATTTTCAGCATGTTCCAAACCAAATATTTTTGAATCATCCAAAGCAGCAGCAGCAGTAAAACCAACAGCAGCCAGTAAAATAAATTGAACCTAAACACACACGACAAACGATTATTATTATTATTATTATTATTACTTTACAACAAACTCTTTTAAAAAAAAAAAAAAAATTATTTTGACAACCACTTACCCAAGCCATTATTTTCTCTTAATGTTTTCTTTTTTTTTTTTTTGGATTTCTCCTCAGTCTTGTCCAGAACTGTACAACAATTCAACTGTGGTAAAAACACATCAAAACTATCCTTATATAGTCTCCAAATATCAAAATACTAATTAGTCATGCTTGAACAGAGTAATTAATTTTTTAGTAATTTTTTTTTCTCCAGTAAAATTGCAACATAATTTTTCCATAATATGCAATTAAAATATATATAACACTTATTTTAAATAAATCGATTAATCGGTAACTTACGGTTGTTGTTATCTTCTTCTTCTATTTTTTCCACCTTTTGTTATCAAGTCAACACAACAACAACAACAATCACGACAAACTCTACGCTAATGATAATAATAATAAACACTTTTACTCGTGTTAAATTTGACTGTTTTTTTTATTCTCATAAAATATTATAAATGCATCACGACACGAAATACATATACATATATATATATTTTTTTAACGGCTTAGAATAATAATAATAATGATAATGATAATGATAATGATAATTTTTTTTCACTTTTCTGTATATTTATTTATTTTTTTTTACATACATATAATTATCCAGTTCAAGGTCAACGTAAGTACATCCTGTTATCTACCTTGAGTTTAAGGCCTTAGTAATCTTTTTATCTTTACCCTCCTTTTCACTTTTTTTTTTTCTCCATCCTTTTTCTTTTCCTTTCCTTTGGCAAAACTATTATTATTATTATTATTATGGTATCACTTTAAAAATTTTTACGTAATTTTTTTTTTTACTCTTTTTTATTATTAATTAATAATTTTTCTTTTTTGTTATTAGTGACGGAAAAAAATTGTAAGTATGGTCAGTAGACATTTTTTTTTTTTTTTTTTTTTTTTGGATAAAATCGAAATTTATTAATTTTATAGTCTATAAAATTTACATTTCATTTGAAATTATACAAATTGAGATTATAGTCTATTATTGAGAAAATTTGTTTGTTTAAAATAAATTAAAATTCAATGCCGAAAGTTTAGGTTATTCCGTTTTTTTTTTATTCGGTTAAAATTTAATAGAACTATAAAATTTCATTTTAATTTTTTTTTAATAGTATAAACGCTTTAAACGGTATTTATAGTAATTTTACTTTGCTTCATATAATTTAAATATAATTATAGCGCTATTAACACTTTAAAAAAAGTCGTGGAATTAGTATTTGTAATTAAAGTATGTTTGATATTTTTTCTTTATTATTAAATTGTAAAATTTATTTCTAAAAAAATTAAAAATAAATATATTAATAAATATAATAAAAATTAAAATATATATATATATATATATATATATATATATATATATATATATATAGTATAGCAAACAAACAATACAAAAATAATAATAATAATAATAATAATAATAATAATAAGCCAACGGCCATAGCGTGCTGGTCACACCGGTTCCCGTACGATCACCGAAGTTAAGCAGCATCGGGCGTGGTGCAAACTTGGATGGGTGACCGTTTGAGAACGCCACGTGCTGTTGGCTTAAAAAAGAGCAAAAAAATGAGAACAAGACAAAGTAAGAACCAAAAACAAAATCTTGTTCTACTGTCGACCTGAGGCAGCTCGACGAGAACGTGAATTTCACTGCTTCTGACCCTGGCCACTCCAAAGATGTTAGTCACCGGAGCCCAGTTCAGGAGACAAATCGTTCCCATCGAAAAAGACGGACTCAGGAAGACCTTCAAGAATTGATGTGGTGCTATCTTATAATAAGTGGCACCACCGAAATTCGAGTATTTGTCCCTAAGGAATCGGGTAGAAACCTCGGATAAATACTTAAAAACTCCGACAAGTAGCCTTGTCGTGTTTAATGGTGGATAATAATAATAATAATG